ATCAAGAAGGGACTTATATTGCTGAAGTTCCTCGGAAAGAATATATACCGGAAATTAACAAACAAGCAGATACATAACAGTAGTCCATATTTAAGTTATGGACATCCACTCTCAATATAGACCTTTGCAAAACTGTTAAATTAACGACAATGTTCCAAATAATAGATAAATCCTTTGTGGACTACTTTCAGTTTGACCTTGATATTATTAAAGTTTATTTGTGGTTTCTGAGGGATTAAAAATATTCCACATCAATTCATAGGCTTAAAGTTAGTACACGTACCCCCCGGGGGGCACCTTGTACTGTATATATAAAGTACTATGCCTTTTTATTCGTCAATTGATGTATAACAACACTAAATAATTAATAATCAATATCGAAAGAAAAATTACAAATACGATAACGAATGTAGGACTTTCCTGTTTCCAGACATGTAGTTTTAGTTTTAGCACTCATGTATGAGTATGACACAAAATGTGACATATGACCTACCTTCAGTTACGTGTTTTATAGACACTTTTGAATGTCTCTGAATGATTGCAGTAACGTCACCCATTGAAATATCGGTACATCAGCTAAGTTATTTGTCCGTCCAGGATTCCTCAGGCCTTTGTTTGTAGTCGCAATTTTTGTTTAAGATAGACTTACAGGCCATGCGTTAAGAGCCTCGTTTCGATTTTTTTTAAATGAAGCATAATCAAAGAGAATAATAGAAATAATGTAATATTTCATTATCCTGGAGGGTAAACTAATTCTTCGCGTACGAAACTTATTTAAACTTTATGCCCAATTATCGATTTTTAAGCGCCTGTATTGAGATAGTTGGAAACATAATAGTTATAAATAGTAAATTTTTAAAATTATGGTATCAAGAAGTGTTGAAAATAAAATCAATTCTCGTCAAGTACAAAGCGTGTTTAAATTTTAGGCCTAATTGTCGTTTTTTAAGCGCCTGTTGGAATTTATATTGAGATGTAATAGTATTGCGTTATCTATAAGCTACAGAAAGGTAGAGAATGAACGTAATGTGTTTCCTTGTGTGCTTGTTTATGTTCCTGAAGTAATTGTCTTTAAGTTAATGTTATTAACGTCATAGTTTTGCACTCGTATAGAACAATGCACGATAAACTCCCTTCATCTTCCACGTGAACTAGCACACATGCACGCAGGGACTGACTGACACACACTGTAGTTTTAATTACATAAATAAATAAAGTTGCAACAGATCTAGCTCGAACTAGAATAACACTAACAGCAATACATTTTTTTCAATTATACAGTAAAAAATAACTCTGAAGTTAGGAATTCGAGAATTATCTGTTATGAAATATTGTGGTTGATGTCTAAATATTATTTATGTCGTCCTTAGCTAAGTTGCCTTACCTACATTTTTAGACAATCGAAACCCTTAAGTTGGTAGTCAAGAAAGGTACTATCTCACTATATAAGCTACTAATTTGGTTTCACTTCGAATACTCTGTGTAGTTTGATATTCTTATCTAAGAATTTTGACTTATTGAAAATGGTTAGAGGAGTGTACTAGGATGATGCTGGAGATGGAAAAAATTATCTTATGGGGATATGTTAAGAACTTATATTCTCTTGAGAAAAAAAAATGGTAAGAAGTGATCTTATTGATGTTTAGAAGATTATCCAAGAGATCAATAGGATAAAGGGCCTCTGATATATTTGGGCTGTGTTCTGAAGACAGTAGGACTAGAGCACGTAAGTTTAAGATTTGGAAAAGATAAGTTAAGATTTCAGGACAATTTTATTTTTCAAACACTACAGGCTGATTAGCTTATGGAATGAATTTGCATCGGCGGTAATGAATGTCGGCACCTTACATGAGTGAGCAGAATAGATGATTCTTCAAAGATAAATGGTGGGTTTTTTATTTTATTATATTCACAAGTGGGTGTATGGATTTAATGTAAATTTGAGATTTACCTTATGGGTCTACGTAATAGGAAATTCACTCAAGATATGATGATATGTAACAGTGCTAATTTCATACTGGCAGTTTTTAAGATAAGGATAAAATACTACAATAGGAAATATACACTAATTGTTATTGCTAATTGAGTTGGTTTGTTCTACCTTGTAGATTCCGTTTTTTTTTTCTCTTTGGGTTTTGAGTTGGGACATGAATCAAAGAAATTGAGAAACATTCTGAAATTCGTCTTTCTTTCAGAACGAATTGTACTCCTAAACTTACTACATATTAACTTAGAGAAGATGCATTAACTTTAAAATGATTAATTGATATTATACATGCTCAGTACATATGTCTTGTTCAATATATTCATTCATATTTATCGATTTTTTTTCCACAATGCTGCTGGGATCTTCTTTTATCTATGGGCCCCGGGCATGTGCGTAGTTTGCCCCTTTAAGGTGATACATAATGTTATCTGTGCTGTGTCCACCACAGGTATTGAAACCCGCTTCTTAGCGTTATAAGTCCACAGACTTACCATTGGGGAAAGCAGCTAGTCATCACCACCACTGCGAATTCTTGGGCTATTCTTTTACAAACGAATAGAGGGATTGCCCATCTCATTATAACACCCCCACAGCTAAAAGGGCGAGCATATTCGAACTCGTGACCCTCAGATAGTGAGTTGAGCGCCTTAACCATCTGGTCATGCTGGTCTCATTTAGCTCATATTTTGCCCCCAGTGGCACAGCGGTATGTCTGCGGACTTACAACGCTAGAATCCGGGTTTCGATACCCGTGGTGGGTAGAGCACAGATAGCCCTTGTGTAGCTTTGTGCATAATTACAAACAAGCTCATATTTTATACCATTAAGTTGTTTCCTAAGTTTCTAGAAAATTCTAGTCGTTAAGCTACCTACTCATTACATTACATTGAAACTCCCTCCAGTCAAAAAGTACCATTGTCTAAATAAAAAAGGTGTACAACACTGTGCCCCTTCCTATATTGTGATGTCTCTTGAACATTCATACTACAGAAAGAAAACAATTGTACATTAAACTTACCTGGTTAACCATAAAGTAACTCTTTTCAATTACCAGCATTAATATTCTTAAATCCAAACATTACAATAATAAATTAAATGTGTAAAATAAACTACAATAAAATTTTTGATTGACTAAACAAAAGCTTCTTTATTCAATTACTGTTTCTAAGCTACCCAGTCTCCAAAACATTTTTGTGGCTTATCTTGCAGAGAAGGAATGAAAATTTCCCCTTTATCAACATTTGTTGTCTTGTCACGTGTGTGTCAGATAAATGATCGAGGGAATCCATGTTCCCATTCCTGGTGACACCCTGGACTTGGTCTCGATAGGAGCCTTGGGCTCTTCTGAATGTTGACTTACTATTGATGAAGCCTGGCAT